ATACACACCTATGAAAGAGTAATGATAATGTGTACTTCATAATAAAATGAAAGATTCACAGCCATGCTTCAAAATAGGGTACATATTTCAGTGGGCCTAGAATGAAGATAAATATTTAATATTTAGCAATAGTAGAAACCAACACTTTTGAATTTGGGTTGCAGAAATGGCCAAGAGTTCGATTTGTGTAGGTGTACTAGGAGTAAGAGGCCTCTGTATGAAGGGAGGATCATGAGCTTAGTTGAGTGTTGTGAGTGCCCACTGGGGATTTGGAATGTAGGAAAACACAGAACTGAGCAGAGATAACCCCTCCCCAGATCTGAGTGGAACTGTCCACCACAGTGTCTAGGTCTGTAAGGTTCCCAATTATTTCTTAGGAGCACCAGCCACAAGTGACCAGAGTAAGAACTACTTCTAGATGGGTGCTCTGTGGAAGGCTTGGAATGTGAGGTTAGGGGGAAAGAGAGAGATAGGGTTGGGTAGGGGGAGAGTGAGAGAGACACACAAATAAACATGAAGTAGTTACTGGATAATACAAAAAAGATTTATTAGGAAAAGATTAACTTCATGGAGTTAGCCTGTTGATCTCTTTGACTAATGATAGTGATAGAGGAAGTCTTTGACGACTGTTTTTAAGTAATCATCAATCCTCAAGGTATTTAGAGCTTTCAGATCCTGTCACCATACATTCATTCTTCCAGAATCTTGAGATTAGTTTTTAAAAAATCACTTGTTTTCCTCTCTTTTTTCTTATAAGAGTAGTCTATAGTTTTATAAATGCCAATCACATTTAAATACCTTTATCAAACAGCTTTTACCAAAACCAAAGGAAATATTATAATTAAAGGAACATTTAATTCAACTTACATTTTTTGAGAAAATAAGTTAAGGTGGTTTAGATTTTGAAGTAATTTCCTCATATTCATTTAATTTGCCTTATATAAACCTTCTTACATTTATAAAAGTAAGAAATTAAAATTTCTTGATTTAAAATTTTTGGTAATATAGACTATTAAAATAAGATTAAAACTGAACATTTTGCTTTGAGAGAGAATACACAGACCCACTATGTTAATGTTATATCATGAAATACAAGGGAATTTTTTGTCATAAATATTTTATTTTCAGTCTCTTCACAAAGAATCTCAACCATGTCAATAAATGTCTGAATTAGGGAGAAAGTGTTTTAGCAGATAGATCTACCACAGATGCAGGTCCTAGGAAATTCTGTATTTCAAATGAAATCTTGTGAAAATTTGTTTTCCAGGCTATGTGTCTGCATGACTGAATACACACACACACACACACACAAATATATATATATATATATATATATGTACTTATATATATACACATATATATATGCATACATATATATCTACAAATAAATGAAAAATTAATTAGCATTATATCTCTTAGAAAAAAAATGTCCAGGTGTTCCTATTGAATAATGGAAGGCTGAAAATCCTTGAGGGTGTCTGTCAGCTCACTTTCTTCCTTGCAGGTGGGAAGGTGATTAGATAAATCTAAATGAGAGACTATTGTAATTAGTTTTCTTAGCAAAGCTTTAGCCTAGTTGGAAATAACCCTGAAGAGATAAATTCTTGTCAGACCCAGTACTAACAGGAATAGAAACTTAACAATTGAGGGAGAATAGAAAGACTACCTCTTCTTCCTATTTCTGAGATTTAACTGCAACTCCTTCTTTACCTGTAGGAGACCTCTGGAAAATAGTAGGGTCTACAAGTTCTGCAGGATGATGTAACTGGAAGTAAGAGCAGACTCAACTATTACCTGACATTCAACTATTTAAGCTTTGCTCTAGTGGGCATGCTATCAATTTAAGTTTAAGAACCCTTTTCCAAATTCACCTAGTCTTGGTAAAGTGGCCAGAGATAAAATCAGCTTTGTATTGTTAGACCAGAGCTCATGCAGACCTCATGGTCAGATGAGATATCTGCCTTCAGGCAAAGTTAATTTGAACCTAAGCTCCACTACTTATTAGCAGAGATGTGTAACAGGGGCCAAATCCCATAACCACTCTATTTATACTTTTATCAATACATACTTTATTGGACTATGAAGTATATCATGGATAGAAAGCACTGAGGATACTGTCCCCTGTATTTTGTAGGTACCCAACCAATGTTTTTCATTAAAACCCTTTCTGGAAGTTGTCAACTTCCGATGCAGAGCAAAAATGATGCCTTGACTAGAAGAGGACCTGATGATACAGCTGCTCATTGGGTAGTCTTTGGAAGCTCCATTTGTGAAGTATTGACATTCTGGGCTGTTCTTTGTCCTACACTTTCTTGATGGGTAATATTATTCCTTTATTATAAGTGCACATGGACTTTTTACACTTTGTGTTGATTTAGGGTTAAAAAGTTATTTGAAAGAGAATATTACTTAGGATAAATTGGTATAAACAATGATTTCTAAAAAATTTCCTCTTGGCATATGGAAATTTTCATGTGTAATAAATACAGTGTATTATGTTGTTTGTATCACTTGATTACTCATATTGCAATCTTATTTGAAAACATGGGTGGATAAAGCCCTGGATCATGAAACAAACACAAAATTGAAAATATAAAAGCTCTTATTTAAGGACCATCTAACTTATGAATTGCCTTATGTTTAGCATACTTATTAGCAAATATAATAGCAGTCAAAAATCATTAAAAAAAATTCATGGTGGACTTAGCTTTAAGTTTTCCCAGCACAAGTCCTGATTGGAAAGATTTTAACTACCATTATACCTTTTTCCACAAAAACAGATTGTAACAAAAACTCCAATATAGTTTCTTGGGCTTCTCAAAGGTTTATAATTCTTTTGTTCATCTCTACTGTGCTAAATTTCTGCAATGAATTTGCCATTAGTGAAAAAGCATTATCTTCATGAGTTATCTGCATATATTATCAGCACACAGCCAGCATTTAATCATAATAAACTTAGATGAAACACCAAGCCTCTCTTCTGTCACACCGCATATACCCTCACAGTGCCCCTAAAGGTTTATTAAATTAACTGAAACTTGAGGAAGGGCTATATAAACTATTTAGATGAAAAGTGAAATTTCCATTTATCATTCTATGCTTTCAATTATTAGCTAGACCAATTTTTTTTCACTTTATTATTTTTTCTTTGCTCAACTTCATATACTATTTGATATTGTTGCTCTTGTATGAAAACAGTCACATGCATTAGAAATGTGCAGTATGGACCGCTTGATTTTTATTACACTTTGAAAAGCAGATGAATAAATCAAGGAGAAAGAAATTTAAATGCAGTGCTGAAGTGAGGTCCAGCCTTTGAAACTGGCTTCCTATTAATCACAGGGCTGACCTTTCCATTAAGGGGCACTTGTTGGAGTCATTGACACGGTTACAGCATTCATATGTGTGAACTGTACTCTGTGGTATTCATGTACTGAGGAAAGCACAGTGAAATTAGAATCTCTCCCTGTAGGGGGTAGACATTGACCGCTATTCAATGCCAACAATTGTCGGTTAAAGTATTTCATGAAGAATGACTTTTAAACTGCATTTACTCCACCATCAGTAATGTCAAATGCAATTCTTAAAGAAATATATTTAACTGGCAGTAATTAATTAAACCTCTCATAGCAGCAACTTTATCCAGGCTAAATCATTTTTGAATATACACAAAGGAGTCATCAGAATTCTACCGTCATGGATTTTAAATCATCATTTTCAATGATGTCCATCTATAATAGTTAGAAAACAAAAACAAAACACTAGCCAATGGGGAATTACTTTAACAATGTGATAGTGTTTTGTTTAAGTTTGCCTGTCTCAAGACTCTAAACATGTGTATTGTCTTTTGAGATGACAATGCCATTCAGACTCATTTTTCAAGTACATAACAAAAATTTTAAAAATCAACTCAAGAGATTATAAAAATATATATATATATAATGTTGTGGTAAGTTTTATTGCATCCTTTTCCTGAAGGATTAATTTAAGTATCATAACTGGAGTCTTTGTAAGGGCATGTGTTCTATGTGTTTATTTCATACGCGGAGCATCATCCATTTGAACAGCAAACACATTCTTCTACACTGCCTGACACTCCACCTGAAAGTCCACCGCAGTTAGCTTGTTAACACAATTCAAGATATATGGTGTAGTAGTAAAAAGATTCCCCATAGCCAAGTAAAATTCAGAGTGGAGGGCTCAAGGAACATGGCTCTACTTAGATCAAATCTGAACTTCAAGTTCAAACATAGTTTAATGGTGAATCCAAAGTTGTAAATGCAAAGTAAACGCAATGTGAAGGCTGCTTTAAACCAAGCATGAAAGACCAAAAAGTCAAAGTTGAGATTTCCCACATCTGGTTTTAATAGCTCTTCCTAGGCTATTAGACAAATGACCTTTTGTTTTGTTTTGTTTTGTTTTACAAAAAGCATTATCATTGTCATTGCTGCTACAATCTATTTCTGCCTTTAGAGTTTTCAGGATCACTTCTTTGGCGAGAGTCAAAGCTGTAGAATGAATTTGTTAAGCCAAAATTACAGGAAAATTCCTCACATTAATGTATCAACAATGATGTAATAATATAGTCATGCATAAAAGCCGAAATCCATTTTCAAAAAGGGTTTGAGCTTTGTAAAGATTTTTTTTTCTATTCTCAGAACTGTGACAAAGCACTTGTCACCATCATTTTTGACAGTAATAAAGGATATTTCACCCAGAAATAGCAGTTAATATGCCAGGCTCGGGGCTTGAATTAGCATTATTATTAGCACCACATTTCAGTTTCAAGACCTTCTGAATGAGGAGTCACTCATGGAGTATTTAAGCTGCAGTGACAGTGCCAGGGCACTGTGCAAAACGAAACTGGAGGAAATCCACAGGGTTATGAACACAGGTTTTTTTGCTGGTTCACTTTTGCACAGTCTTTAGAGGATTCCCTGAGAGTAAACACCCTTAATGAATTCCCAAGTAAAAGAAGGAAAGATAAATATTCTACTTACTGCATTTGTTGTCCTTTGTCCATGTGCTGAAGTCAAAGGGCTGTTCTGCAGTTCTTACCTAGCTCCAGGTTGCCCTCCGGATTAGGCATAAACGTGAGCAGCAAGAAGCATGTTGACTTTGTAACTGTACAAGGAGCAGCCCATCGCACTGCTGCTAGTGAGCCCGTCAGGACAAAGTGCTAAACTTCAGCAGGAGAGCACAGCATCTATTACCCCTGAGGCTCTACCATTTCACCTACACCTGGGCGGATCTATCAAGCTTCATCTCTATTAGAGCTATTTGACTCTGTGGTTTAGGAGGGAGGAGGAAAAAAAAAAAAAAGAGGCTTGCCGTTGTCACACTTGTTTCCTATTAAAGAGCCTTACGGTGGATTGAGTAATTGTGTACGAAGGTAGTCTGGCTGGCAGATGTGTGCAGCCCCAGCGGAGCACTAGATTCAAGGCAGATGGGTTGTACCAGGGCGCAAACAACATTGAGAGAGAGAGAGGCGTGATTAAAACAGCAGGCCTCTGTTTTATAGTGCTGGAAGTGGGGTAGCATTAAAGCTCCTGGGAACTAGAGCTCCCCAAATGATATTGCTCTGTATGAAAGAAAACAATAAATTCAATAAAAAAGAAAGATGTTCAAACTACAAAAGTTATAGAGATATTTGTAATATTCAATTTAACTATAAATGAAGGATTAAATGGCACACTCTTCCCCAATACCCTAACTAAACTTAATTAAAACTACTCAATCATGGGTCATAGCGGGTTATTGATAGTGTTAATGTGATGGATTTGAAACAGATCCCTCATTCTGCTACATAAGCCAAGGTTATCTTTTTAATCTGAATTAAATTGCTTTAAGGAGATTTACACTGTTGGGCAGATTGACATCCTGCAATTGGGCTTTTTTTTTTTTTTTTTAAATTTGGTTGAAGCCAATTGTTTGAAAAAATGTCCTTATCATTAGTTATTTCTGCATACTCCTAATAGCTCAGGTAACTTGATTCAAGGAAACTTTAGGGCTTTCTATGTCACTATTCTTTCTGACAATAAAATTGCATAAAAAAGTCAGAATGAGTATAATTTAATTTCGAAGTCAGAACTGTTTGGTCTATTTCCCTATGCTATTGAGAGCTGTTCTATGTTCAACAGTGAGCAACTACTAGTATTAATGATAATGATGATGATGATAATTGAACAATTGCTCTGTTGCCAGAAATATGCAAAGAACTTTGAAGACATTATCTCCTTTGATACCTACAAGGACACTGTGAGGTCAATACTACTATTATTACCTTTTCACCTCTTTTTTTTTTTTCACACATGAGGGAAAGTGTCCCTGAGAGGTTCCTCCACCCAAGGTCACACATTTGTTATAGGTTGGAAGCAGAATTCAATTCAATCTGTCTCTAAATTCTCACTCTTCCTGAAGTCAGATAGTCTATGCAGAATGATTTTTATCCTGTACAAATAAAATGATTATCATCAAATTCTGTACAGAAAAGTATGAAGTTAACTACCATTTCTTTGGGTAGTTATAAATTAGAATTAGATACTCTAACTTTGTGTGTGCAAGCAAGTCATTGAAATATAGTCCAGTCTACTCACTAATAGAAGTTTCATTAAAAGTAATAAGGACACCATAAGTTAAGAATTGCCTTAGAATACATATATTTAAGATAATTTATTAGAACATTTTCTTTCAATTAAGATCCTTTGAGCAAATGCTCTTTAATATCTCTACTTGATTTGCAGAAAATCAGTAAAAAGAATAAGATTGAAAATTAAGAGTATTTTATCTGTTTTTCATGTTTTTATAAGTTGTTCAAAATTCTTTCATTAATTATTTTTTATTTTCCTTTCCATATTTACCTGCGAATAGAGTCATTATTTCTTCCAGTAGAAGCTTGTTTTACTCATCAATAAAACTACATTTCAAAGAAAAATTTGAGTCATCAGAATAACACTTAATAAACAATCTTTCCAAAGATAAATGAAATAAAAATCTAGTTCTTGAATAATTGCAGTCTTGTAGTTTGTTTATACTAACATACATGTTTTTAGTCCTTTGAATTTAGACATTTATACTAAGTCATATTAAATAATTAGTAAGCTGTCCTGTTTGTCATTCCATCTGGAAAAAAAATATGTTTCAAAGTGCAAGAATTATTTTAAGGAAAGTGTTTAAAGGTGGTAAGTAGAAAGATAAAGCATAGTGAAATGGGATAGAGTATCAAATAAAAGAATCAAAGAATGGGAATAACAGAACCTAAGAAAAAGCAGGGTGGGATTTCAACATAATCCAAGGGGCCAATGTAATTTAAAGAAGCCTTATATGGCTCACAAACACAGTTTGAGAAAAGTTATTCGATGAGGGGAGGGGCTTTTTTTAAAGTGTCAGGTTATTTTAGACACCATTTGTGTAAGTGTGTGTGTGTATGCACATATATATCTGTGAGTATGTGTGGATTTTTATATCCAAAAGATATTACAGGAACATGTTGATACTCAAGATCAAGAAAAAACACTACCAGAAGAATACAGAATTATCTGTAGAAATATTGTATAGGAGAGCAATTAATTTAATTTTCTTCACTGAATTCTATGTAAATTAGGTTAAAATTTATAACTACCAAAAGTCTGGTATTGGTTTATGCCAAACGTCAGCATTTTCAAATTTTAAAATTTTTCATTGGAAAAGTAAACAAAGCTTCCACATTTTCATAGTTTCACATAAAATACCATGAAGATTTTCAAAGAACTTTTTTCTATCTTGGCTGAAAATTGAACTTATTGGAAATATCCCAAGAAACAATATCCTGGGGAGTTTCCAGTCTAACTTTTATATCAAAGTTTGGATAAGATTTGGAGAAGCATACAGATTTTATTTTGATTTATTTCTAGTTTTATTCATGACCAATCTTACAAACCTATACTCAAGAGAGTTCTTTTTAACAAACGTTACCTAATTTATGAAGTAATGATCCAATGCTGGCTGGTTTTGCTTTTTGTTGGAAAAGTCAGACTTTCCCCAACAAATGTTTACTTAGCTTCTAACCCCTGATTTCCAGCCTAGCTCTTATGTCCATTCTTATTCCATTCATACACAATTTTCTACCTATTTTTATTGATAATGACTATTGTGTTGGTAGCAGTGACTATGAAAATTTTATTAATATGATTACATTAATAACACAATGGAATATTACTTAGCACTAAAAGAGAATAAAATTATGGCATTTACAGGTAAATGAATGGAGTTGGAGGATATCATGCTAAGTGAAGTAAGCCAATCCCAAAAAACCAAAGGCTGAATGTTCTCTCTGATATGTGGATTCTGATCCATAGTAGGGGAGGACATGGGAAAAATGGAGGAACTTTGATGGGGCAAAGAGGGAACAAGGAGGGGAGAGGGTATGGTGGAATTAGATGGACATCATTACCCTAGGTACATGTATGACTGCACATATGGTGCAATGTTACATTGGATAAAACCACAGAAAGGTAAAGTTGTGCTGCAATTGTGTACAAAAAATCAAAATGCATTCTGCTGTCAAATATACCTAATTGAAGTAAATTGAAAAATAAATTTCAAATGTGATTTATCATTTCTTAAAATATACAAATATTGTTTAATGCAAACACTTAAGATATTACATCATTGTAGCAAAATTCAACTTATTTTTATCTATATGATTTAAGACTTGATTCTTTGTTAAATTGGTGTCTCATCTGGATCAAGAATTTGAAGCCCCCATGGTAAATAACTGGAGTTCTAAACTGCTAATTTCTGAGTTTAAGAAAATGAGAGAACCTCATACTAACCCTAAGGCCAATTTGGCATTTCTGAAAATGGCACTTTAGTTCTTAAATATAAATTTATTTTATTTACATGAATTTCCTCAAGAAGCATTGCACATTATTCTGTTTTATACTCCATGATTTCAACATTGTGTCTCATTCCTTTAAGGATATAAAGCATATAGAGTTCATTATAGCATGGGTTTCACCATCTCCTTTGCATAGATGCATCTTCTTCCCAGTTTATGTGAGTACAATGATATATAAGACAAAGACAGAACAGAAAATTTTGGTTTTGATAATTCACCAGCCCTAGAAAAATGAGACTGAAGTGTTATTTTTTGTTGCTATTGTTTAACATTCTAAATTTTATCATCCAATGGGCATTAAACATAAAAATTGATGTCCAAAACCATTAATAGCAAATTTGATTTATTACTATATAGATTGTATGGATAAGCTAGCAATAGTATAGGGTTGGGTACAATTGGAGTGGAAGAAATATTTCTATGAACAGATCTAAAAAAAAATATACAGAGAGAGGTCAGTGACAAATAATCTAGAATTCAATGAATACTTGTGGGCAACTTCTTTCATGAGACCAGGCATAATTTATAGAATTCTATGATACAAAAATATTCCCAACATTTCCAAAATATTTCTCCCTCCATTAGATTTTATATATACTCCTAAAATATACCCTTCTGGCCAAAGTAAAGAATAATGTTTTCAAAAATTTTATTATAGTAAAAATATTTCTGATCTAAGAGGAGAATGAATATACAGCCAGGAATATTTTTTTTTAATTTATTTTTTTTATCCTCCAGATTAGTGTAGGAATTAGCTGGTAGTTACTGGAAGTCTGTCTGCTACAGGACATCATTCAAAGGCCAAGTTGTATTGCAGAAGAATTTTCTTAGGGAGTGGAGTAGTTTGGGGTGTCAAGACACTTCTCAGAAGATGATGTACAATCAGTCAACAAATACATGAAAAAAATGTTCATCATTACTACCAATTAGAGAAATGTAAATCAAAACCACTCTAAGATTTCATCTCACTCCAGTCAGAATGACAGTTATTATGCATACAAACAACAATAAGTGTCGGCAAGGATGTGGGGAAAAAGGTACACTCATACATTGCTGGTGTGACTGTAAATTGGTGCAGCCAATATGGAAAGCAATATGGAGATTGCTTGGAAAATTAGGAATGGAACCACCATTTGACCCAGATATCCCTCTCCTTGGTCTATACGCAAAGGACTTAAAAACAGCATACTGCAGGGACACAGCCACATCAATGTTTGTAGCAGCACAATTCACAATACCTAAACTGTGGAACCAACCTAGATACCCTTCAATAGATGAATGGATAAAAAAATGTGGCATATATACACAATGGAATATTACTCAACAATAAAAGAATAAAATCATGGCATTTGCAGGAAAATAGATGGAGTTAGAGAAGAAAATGCTAAGTGCAGTTAGCCAATCCTAAAAAACCAAATACCAAATGTTTTCTTTGATATAAGAAGGCTGATTCATAGTGAGATAGGGAGCAGGAGGAGCATGGGAGGAATAGACAAACTCTAGATAGGG